GCTGGTAGGGATCAATTTGTGACGAATAATTACAAAAAACTGTTCCGAACCAGAAAATTGTACACACCTCAGCAACTGTGGATGCTTTATAAAGTTTTGGAGTATTGTTTTCATGTATGGAGCTCCGAACTTGAGCATACCCTGCAGCTGCTGGATTCCATTCAGAAAAAAGTCATACACCTGATCGGAGACTCAAAAACCACTTGATAGTCTCAAAGATGAAATGAAGGTTGGGGATTCGTCTCTCTTCTATAGATACTTCCATAGGAAGTGTTGAAGTGACATCCATATCAGAAATTCGCGACATACTGCAACTGCTTATCGTTTTGAGGTTCATTACAGTACACCTCGAACTGTTCACGAACTCTTCCATCTGGAAAACTGCATTTATGTGGTATGCACTTCCTGAGAACGTATTTCCAAATGGATTCGATCTCCAGAGATTCAAATCCAATGTAAATCGCTACTTTCGCACAGGTACCGCTGTGAGAGCGCCTGAAGGACTTTCCTGTATTGTTTGGCTGAATTGGAAGATGAGCAACGAATACTATGTATCACATCAGATTTTTTTTTTTACTCAGGAGAGCTTCAATGAAATGAAGCAATACAATAATTTCGTATCTTCTTGTGGAAATTCTGAAACATACAAATTCATTTTCTCACTTCTATTCTCTTGTTATACATTCAGTTGAATGATTTGATTAATTTAGAAATCGATTGTATAGGTTATATTTGTTCATGAAATTTGCGATTTATTAAAGTACCGGATACATGTAGTCATGCGAAACTCCAAAAGGATACCACTCCAGAAGACTTAGGGGATAATAACAGGGTTAATCCCAGCTTACCACAGAGTAGATTATCCTCGCCAAACTATTTGTTTGGAAATGCTGCCGTGATTTTATCATGAACCCATGTTGATTCTAGATGTTTGGATTTTGAATACATGACCTCCGCAGTGGTGATTCAGTTGAAATAGTTATTCAAAGTAGAACACCGCCCGGTCTATAACCATTCCACAAAATTGTACCTGTAATACTGGTTCATTTTTGTCAAGGAGTCCTAGAATATTTCAGACTATAGAATGTACTGAGTAAACTGAAAGAAGCATAATTTTTAAGAATGTTCGAAGTAAAAAGTTGTTCGGAAGTTAATTTTCTTTTGTGTACATCCATGTTCATGTGCAACTAGTTATTCCGTGTAATCCAATATTCATGCGATAGTAATTATTTTGGGGAGGATTTCTTACCATGGAGAGCCAAAAAGCCTTTCACCTCCTGAAAAATATAGAAATAATAAAAATTCTTGTTTTTCTGCGAGTACTGTGAATGGAGATGTCCTGAATGTTGAATCATCTGGAAAAACCTTGAACATTAAATCAACTTGGAATTGTCACATTGATCATATATCAAGTGAAAAATCTTCAATTTTTTTTATTTCACTCAAAATAACCTACTGCTCTCTTTCACTCTTCTATCAGTTACGGTATCGTTCGTCCTCTGGGAAAACTCTTCAGGGACTGCAAATATAAGGTGTCCCTGTATTTTCCTTGTTGAATAGTATAACATTATTTAGTGAAGCCTTACGAAACGACCCTGTAATGTTATTTCGAGTACAAAGACTACGCAGGCTACGAAAATGTATTGAGAGAAAAGGGGGTCATATGGAGCAGTTTTTGGAGAAGATTTTTCATTTCTGTTTCCTCTTGAGGCTTGCAATTGATAGTCACACCATGACTTTTCGTTGAGTTAACGTGTTTGCATTATGAAAATCCGTTTTGAACATTTCATCTACCACTTCTGTTTTCATTCAAAATTAAAATTTTTGGAATGATGATAGACATTTCAAGTTGAATGTCATCGAAAAAATTGCATTTTTATCAAAAATCGTTGCTCCTATGGATTTTCCATACGAATAGTTTCATTCAGAGAATTGTGTAAGTAATCCGATTCTGTAGAGGAATATTGAAAAATATCTGTCGTTTCAAAGTTTTGGGGTTTGAACCTTCGGGAGTTTTCAATTCCTGACTTTGTAGCAAAACAACCGACTCCTCCATGAAAGCTCATCAAAGCAATTCATTTGTATGGTTAATCACCAAAATTTGGTTGATTTTAAATATCTACTTGAAGAGTTATCAAAGAACATTTCTCATTTTGAAACATTGAGGGCCTGTAACTTGGTAACGAAGGATTTCAGAAACAAAAGTTATATGGAGTACTGATGATATTTTGACCTCATATATACATTACCGGAAGGAGAAGAGAAATTCCAGTGAAACCCTGCATTTTCAGGGTTCGAAAGAAGGCTATACTGATCTTTACTCATTCTTATTATGGAGGATTCTAATAATGGAAGTAACGAATGAATTATATTCTGTATTCCAACACATCATTCCAACACCTCCCCATCACCTTCCCATAGGCACCGCTCTAAGAGCGCCTTAAGGATTTTTCTGTAGTGCTTCGGTTTCATCTATGAAAAAAATAAAGTTTTTCCTCCTGGGAAAATGAAAATCATATCGCAGAACAACAAAAGGTTCTCCAAAACATTATAAAACGAATAGCACTGGGGATTATACCCACAGAGAATAGTTTTGTACCGGTTTCAAACAACGTACAATTCAACAACAACTCATCTTTTTACAGAAAATGTCGTATGAATTTATAGCCACACGGTCATTTGTATCTTTCTCATATAAATACACTCGACTGCTTTTCACTTTATAAAGCTGCCACAGATCTACATTCATCATAACGTTTACCATTCACCAGAGAAAAACTTGTTGTGTAGATAAGCTTTTTTATTCATCTATTTGGAACTTGTTGAAGTGCATTCACAGAGAGATATTAATGAACTTTTTGCACCTACACAAGAATGTTGTCAGCAATTGTTTATTCTTTCTTGAACACTCATGTCATATAGTTTTCATTTCATTGAAATATGGGTTCGAATTATTGAAAATTTTGTAATGAGTAGAAAACTGCTTTTTGAAAATGATAATTTTCTACTTGTTTTCGTAACATACTATTCATTTCAATTAGTAAGTTACATATATTGTTGATGCACTTTAGAAAAAAACTAGTATATTTGAAGTGTCGTTTTTTTAAGTTTACAAAAGTTTCATCATATGTATAACAGAGAAATATATAGATGTATTTTTCATAAAATTCCATTTCAATGCAGTGGTATGAGTGCAAATTATGTACTTCGCCATGCATCACGATAAATAATAATAATAATAATCGTGATTATTATTTACAACAATTAATGACACAAGTCATAAACAAAATATTCCATCTATTGAAAATAAAAGGACGAGTTCAAATCCTTCATAGGTGTATCTGTGATTCACTAGTTCTTCCAATCGATCTCAAACCGTCTTCACAAATTCCAAGAAAAAAATTCCACATTTCTGCAATCCATTATGGTTGGAAAAAAATATTTATTGAGTACCTGTAAGCAATATAGAGTCATATATTCTGTTCTGAACTGATTTGCTCCTAGTAGTTTGAGATGAGATTGTATGCTGTTATATACCTGGAAACTTTGAGAACGCATGAATGTTTGGGTTTTGAGGTTTCTCCTAAGACCTTTGACAGTTGTAGCATTAGAGTTTGCTGGCCATCTTCCACAGCAGCAGGAGGTTGCATATCCCAATGAGGATCTAGAAGTTATTTCGAACTGGGTTGAAACCAACCAGGTTCAATTCAATGCAACAAAAATCTGGTTATCAGTTTTCTCTAAGAAGATAAACGTCTCCGAACCGGATATAATAATGTCAGGTCAGACAATTTTTCTTTCTGCTTCGATGAAATTGTTGGAGGTTAAAATATGTCTTGGCCCCATCAAGTCGCTGGAATTGCAAAGGCTGCTCCTCAAAAGCTTGGAACACCGGTACACCTCAGTACACCTCAGCATCTTTTGATGCTTCATAAAATTCAGATCAGACCTTCTTTGGAGTATGGTTCTCATGTATGGAGCCCTGCTTCTGAACGTAACCTGAAGTTACTAAATTTCATCCAGAAAAGAGCCATTTGCCTGATTGGAGACGCGAACATCACGTGCAAGTTTGATAGCCTGGAAGACAGGTTGGAGATTTGTTTATCTTTCATAGATACTTCCACGGGAAGTGTTCACGTGACTTGGCACATTCGTTTTCACCAGTGAAAATTATATATTTCAGGAAATGCACCATTAGCAATTTTATTTCCATAGATTCAGTTTTTTTATTCTTGAAGTCGAGTTGAAAAACAGCTATAGCTGACACTTCGCACATTCGTCATAAGGTTATCTGTAAATAATTTCGTAACAGAAGAAAGAAGTTTCTGTCCTGAATTTCCAGAGCTGTGACTAATGAGGTTTTGCATGTGGCTAGGACGGAAAGAATCTAAACCAACAGCAGAACCAGAACGAAAAGATTTAATTGCCTCCGATACTTCATGTTCTGAAAATTGGAACACCGGAAACTCTGAAAAATCGTGTGGTGGTTGCGAATCCAGAGAATGTGTGAAGGAATCTGATCGAGGGTGTTTCGATCGGATAACTGAAAGTGTAGATTCATCGTATTCGACCAACGTATCACTTGAGCTTAAGAATCTGATAGCTGACCTAATGTCACCATCAGCTATTCTACTCAAAACAAGCTTAGATAAGTTTTGGATACATATCCTTCAATCGATCTGAGATGGAAAGACATTTGTTTCGGAATTAGGAAGTTTGATGTTTTTCTTCAAAAGAGATGCGGGAGAAGATCTACGGGAGTCCTTGGCATGTGGGATGGAGAACAAAGTATAAGGAAAAGTCAACAAGTTTTCCCAGCTTGAGTTTGTATGTAAACATTCATCTATAATTTCGCACAGGGCAAAGGCAGAGCAATTGTAATATAATTGTAATGTAAATGTAAATGCAAATAAGATATCCTTCATCTCTTGTGATAAATAAAGTTGATTATTATTATTATTATTATTTCTCCTTTCTAATTCTCTCTTCTTTTTTTCTAGGCATTCCGTCCATGAGAGACACCTTAACGAACCCTGTCCACGTGTACGAAGGAGACGATGCCCTCATAACATGTGTGGTGAAAAACATAGGACAGAACACCGTCATGTGGAAAAAGGAAGACAAAGAGAGATACAGTACAAGAGTGTTGACAGCAGGAGAAAGTCGCGTGACGGCCGACAGGCGATACGGGGTGTTGCACGATTCAGGTGAATATTACCTTTTTTATATCAGTCTAGTTCACAAGTTGGATGTGGTGAAACATATAGATAATGGTCGGATATTATGTGTGACGACTCATTTGATCTGGAGTAGTATCTAGAAAAATATGCTTAAACAAACATGTTTGTCGTTTTTCGCTATTCGTTCACTCTTAGCATGATGAATAAGGCAAATATGATAATTTACTTTCAAAGAAACGTCATTTATTGATTCAATCTGCAACCGATGCAATTGTTTATTTTGAAACAACTCTATTTTTCTTCTCGTAATTCATATCTTTTTCAATTTTTTGCAATTCTCATGTTCCTAACTAATTATTTATTATTATTATATCTGTGAACCGAAAATCTGAATCACAGTTAAATATAACAAAAAAATGAAATTTCTGTGATAAGTTGAGATAATTTCACAACACAATGTAAACAAAAAAAATAAAAGGCTGTGTACACATCGCGCGTTACAGCGCGCGTCAGATAAATCATAGCACAGGTATGCTAAAAGAACTAATAGTTTCAGTTTTGCCAAAGCCTTCGATATTTCTGTCTCACAGTATTACTCTTTAGGACAACTGCACATTTGGGTTAGCTGTCCTTGTTCATCTTTTACTGCCTGAACCACTGTGCCTGCTGACGAGTGAATTGGCATGGGATGTGGAGGTTGAGCAAATCAGCCATCGGATACCTGCTTCCACGTAGCCCTGCTGAATACGGGAATAACAGAATAACTTTAAGTTCTGTTATTCCCTAACTAAATGCCATCCCAACGATGGTTTAATCCTGAAGTGTGTGTATCCGTGCCAAGAGGATGAATGACACTGAGAAAGCTGTCTCTACGAACCTTCGAGATACCAGGCGCCCTTTTGTCGTAGCATCGCCTTGTCACGGTAATGCGGTTCTCTGCCGTGATTGACCTTCTTTCCCTAGCTACTCGTGGGACTTTTATGGACAGAGTGAACTACAGAGGAGATGTATGTCGAGTTTACGACTCCAACTGACCTCCCTGTAAATTTAGTTCAGGAGCGAGAACTGCGGTGTACGCAGAATCTGTCTCAAGTGAGGCAACAAACACACCCCTCATGAGCAGGTTAGCAAACGTTTGCACTCAAGTGATGATTCACCAAAACCAGAGGCTGAAAAGGCCTGCACGGTTGAATCTAAGGCATCATCAAGTGTAGGAAGGTTGTGGTGGGTATCAAGGTGAGAATCTTGCACCTTGACTATCCAACCTCATTGACGATGAAACAGCAGGGCCTGCTCCGCTGGGGACCGACTCAGGTTTTTAGAGTTCGACAGAGCCGTACTTCAAGTATCTGACCTGAAAGACTACTCACCATACAAACCTAACCTAACCCAACCTAACTGCACATTCATAAATTATCCGACACGAGTGGATTTGTCAGCGTTTGACATTTCATACACTAGTTTGAATGATTGACAATGTTTCATGATGAATTTCATTAGTTCCATGAAGTAAAAAAACCGTTTCGATTGTTAGTATCCACAATCTATCCGCTTCACCGGTTTTGAGGGAGAGAACCGTTTGACGGGAGTTGGCCATTTTTCGCTTGATCGTGAGTTTCCATATATTGCATATCTCTACGCTAGCTTGGCTGAATACATTTTTGAACAACATGTATGCGGTTTCTTTGAATTTCCTCCTGAACCAATGTTCCTCCCTGTGTATGATGCTCAGTATAATTATTATTTTCAGCTATTCTTTTCAATTTTGTTTTCATTTTCAGTTTGTATTGGTTCTTCAAGGGATTTCAAATAATTTTATATATTACTAGTACTATGTTGCTGTATCGCTGCTGTTCCCATGTTTTTACAGAATCAGAATCAACGAACTTAGGCGAGCGCAGCGTTATAGGACAGTGCTTTCAAAAAATTGTTCTACAGCGCCATCTAGTGGCGAGTTACAGAAAAGTTGAAAGCCTAGAAACCTTCTCTATGAAAAATTTCTTATACATGTCAAGTTTCATCACGATCGGTTGAGCGATGTAGAAGTTTATCACTTACCAACCAACCAAAAAACATCAATTTTATAAACGTTGAACTGGAAGACATTTTGAGAGGACTGACGACTCCCAACACCAGTAACCAGGCTGGATGTCGACGGATTTGACGAGATCGTCAGTGCGGAACACTGTTTGAAACGATATTTCAAATGGATTGTTTTTCGATAGCCTAAATAATCTCCTCCCAGTTCATACAGTATCTAGCGCATCACATTTCTTTGCTTTCTGAAATACAGACCAAAACCACTAATATTTTATTTCCAGCAGCTGTTACGGCCTACCGCGACCAACACAACTAAATAATTTTTCATTTCAGATAACTCCCAAATGCTGTTAACATACTATGAATTGTCATCCAAATCATGTCTGCTATAAACTTTCCCGATGAACGTCCAATTCCAAATTGCAATAGGCAATTTCCCAATCTGTTACACGCATTCGATTATTATTTGTTCAAAAATCCAATCATGTTCCGATCAGCAGCGGCGAATAGCCAATATTCGTATCTTCTGTTGTTCTGACCTATATGTCAATTACGAGTCAGCTGGTTGAAAGTTTGAACATGATAAAAATAATACTGCCAACTCTGACAGTGGGAGTCATAATGGAGATATGTTCAACGTTTGTTTGAAGGTGATTGACAATGTTTCATGATGAATTTCACTAGTTCGGACTTCCATTGTCTAATATATAAATTGGTTTGAAATTCCTAAAACAACCAAAATAAAAGAATTAAAAATATATATAACAAAAAAATGAAATTTCTGTGATAAGTTGAGATAATTTCACAACACAATGTAAACAAAAAAAATAAAAGGCTGTGTACACATCGCGCGTTACAGCGCGCGTCAGATAAATCATAGCACAGGTATGCTAAAAGAACCAATAGTTTCAGTTTTGTCAAAACCTTCGATATTTCTGTCTCACAGTATTACTCTTTAGGACTACTGCACATTCGGGTTAGCTGTCCTTGTTCATCTTTTACTGCCTGACCCACTGTGCCTGCTGACGAGTGAATTGGCATGGGATGTGGAGGTTGCGCAAATCAACCATCGGATACCTGCTTCCACGTAGCCCTGCTGAATACGGGAATAACAGAATAACTTTTGGTTCTGTTATTCCCTAACTAAATGCCATTCCAACGATGGTTTAATCCTGAAGTGTGTGTATCCGTGCCAAGAGGATGAATGACACTGAGACAGCTGTCTCTACGAACCTTCGAGATACCAGGCGCCCTTTTGTCGTAGCATCGCCTTGTCACGGTAATGCGGGTCTCTGCCGTGATTGACCTTCTTTCCCTAGCTACTCGTGGGACTTTCATGGACAGAGTAAACTACAGAGAAGATGTATGTCGAGATTATGACTCCAACTCACCTCCCTGTGAATTTAGATCAGGAGCGAGTCTACAGAGCAGATGGATGTCGAGTTTACGACTCCAACTGACCTCCCTGTGGATTTAGTTCAGGAGCGAGAACTGCGGTGTACGCAGAATCCGTCTCAGGTGAGGCAACACACCCCCCATAAGCAGGTTAGCAAACGTTTGTACTCAAGTGATGATTCACCAAAACCAGAGGTTAAAAAGGCCTGCACGGTTGAATCTAAGGCATCGTCAGGTGTAGCTAACGTGCAAAATTCCTTGTATGGGAAGGTTGTGGTGGGTATCAAGGTGGGAATCTTGCACCTTGACTATCCAACCTCATTGACGATGAAACAGCAGGGCCTGCCCAGCTGGGGACCGAATCAAGTTTTTAGAGTTCGGCAGAGCCGTACTTCAAGTATCTGACCTGAAAGACTACTCACCATACAAACCTAACCTAACCCAACCTAACTGCACATTCATAAATTATCTGACACGAGTGGATTTGTCAGCGTTTGACATTTCATACACTAGTTTGAATGATTGACAATGTATCATGGTGAATTTCATTAGTTCCATTAAGTAAAAAAACCGTTTTGATTGTTAGTATGCACAATCTATCCACTTCACCGATTTTGCGGGAGAGAACCGTTTGACGGGAGTTGGCCATTTTTCGCTTGATCATGAGTCTCCATATATTGCATATCTATACGCTAGCTTGGCTGAATACATTTTTGAACAACATGTATGCGGTTTCTTTGAATTTCCTCCTGAACCAATGTTCTTCCCTGTGTATGATGCTCAGTATAATTATTATTTTCAGCTATTCTTTTCAATTTTGTTTTCATTTTCAATTTGTATTGGTTCTTTAAGGGATTTCAAATCATTTTATATATTACTAGTACTATGTTGCTGTATCGCTGCTGTTCCCATGTTTTGACAGAATCAGAATCAACGAACTTAGGCGAGCGCAGCGTTATAGAACAGTGCTTTCAAAAATTTTTCTATAGCGCCATCTAGTGGCGAATTACAGAAAAATTGAAAGCCTAAAAACCTTCTCTATAAAAAATTACATATACATGTAAAGTTTCATCACGATCGGTTGAGCGATGTAGAAGTTTATCACTTACCAACCAACCAACAAACATCCATTTTATAAACGTTGAACTGGAAAACATTTTGAGAAGACTGGCGGCTGCCTACGCCAGTAACCAGGCTGGATGTCGACGGATTTGACGAGATCGTCAGTGCGGAACACTGTGTTTGAAACGATATGTTAAATGGATTTTTTTTCGATAACCTAAATAATCACCTCTCATTTCATTTAGTATCTAGCGCATCACATTTCTTTCCTTTCTGAAATACAGACCAAAACCACTAATATTTTATTTCCAGCAGCTGTTACCGCCTACCGCGATCAACACAACTAAATAATTTTTCATTTCAGATAACTCCCAAATGCTGTTAACATACTATGAATTGTCATCCAAATCATGTCTGCTATAAACTTTCCCGATGAACGTCCAATTCCAAATTGCAATAGGCAATTTCCCAATCTGTTACACGCATTCGATTATTATTTGTTCAAAAATCCAATCATGTTCCGATCAGCA